AGGAAGGAAGGAAGGAAGGAAGGAAGGAAGGAAGGAAGGAAGGAAGGTGGGAAGGAAGGAAGGAAGGAAGGAGGGAAAGAAGGAAGGTGAGGGAGGGAGGGAAGGAAGGAAGGAATCCACGCTAGTGTTTTCATAGTGCTTTCACATGTACATGGGTTTGTTTCTGGGTTCTCTATGCTGTTCCATCTATCTAATCCTATTCACAGCCATACTGGCTTAATCACTAAAGTTTTACATTGAGCCTTGTTATCTGATAAGGCCAAGTCCTCTTGACTTGTTCTTATTCTTCAAGAGTTCCTACCAAATTCTGCCTTTTGCTCCTCAAATATATTGTGAATCACCTGGTCACATTCCACAAACATATCAAAACCAACTAGAGATTTGGATTTCAATTATTCTATATATCAAGTCATGAAGAGTTGACATTTTAGCTTTACTTAGTCTTCAAATCCATGAAAAAGGTATATTTTTTCTATGTATCTAGATCTTTTAAAAATATTTTTCAGTAATTGTGCATACTTTTCAACTATAAAGGTTTCACACCCCCTTGTTGGATTTACTTATTTTTTAGATATTTTATTTATTTATTTGAGAGAGAGAGAGAGAGCAAGAAAGAGAGCATGAGCGGGGGTGGGTAGGGGCAGAGGGAGAAGCAGACTCCCTGCTTAGCAGGGAAGCCTGATGCCAATGCAGGGCTCCATCTCAGGACTCTGAGATCATGACCTGAGCCAAAGGCAGACACTTAACAACTGAGCCACCCAGGCACCCCTGCTTGTTGGATTTATGTTCTGCTTCTGTATTATTTTATCCCTTCAATCTCTTTTGAGTTTACTCTGTTACCTTAAATTAGCTCATGCATTTTCATCTTAAAATTATGTTACCTAAAAAGCTTAGATTATTATCATATCTTATTTTCTAATGTATGTTTCTAAGATGAAAAACATCCCTCTAAATAATGCTTTAGCTAAAGCATGCTTTGTTATGTAGAATTTCTACTACTGCCACTTCAAACTATGTTCTATTTTCTTTTGCCATTTCCTATCTGACCTATGAGTTACTTAGACTTCCATTTATTAATTTTCAAAGATATAAGACTTCTCTAATTTTGTTTTTATTACTGATTTCTAACTTAATTGAATTTGGGTCATATTTACTTCATAGCTAATATGTCATCAAATATTGAAAAAACTGCATTATGCAGTTTTAGGTACAATGTTCTCTGTGTGTTCATTAGATGGACCTTATATTTGGGTTCTTTAAATCTTCCACAGGCTTACTGATGTTTTCTCTGCTTGAGCTACCAAAAAATAAAGTACATATGCTAATATCTCTCATTATTATGATAGATGTGCCCATTTCCAATTGTAATCTATTTTTGTTTCATATATTTTAACATTATATATGTCTAGTGAATTAATCTTCGGGAAGCCTCTTAAAAATAAATTCTGTTTTGACTGATAATTCAGCCATTCCTACTTTGTTTTGAATAGCATTTATCTGGAACATTTTTTTCTATCTTTTAGTTTCAGCAATTCTGTACCCTTATGACTTAGATGTGTTATGCAGTAAACAATTTTTACCTTTCTTAAAAACAACAACAAAAAAACTTGAAGCATTTAATCTATTTACTTTCATCTTCAATTAATCATATATTTGGATTTATTTGCATAGTTTTTTCTTTTTCAAACATTTCTTACCTTTTTCTTTTTCTCCCTCAAACATAGTCTGTTAATCATTCATATTTTACTCTATACTTTTAATGTAATTGCTTTATAAATCTTAAGATGCATACTTTACTTGTAAGACTCTAAATCTGATCTATCTTCTCTCCTCTGGAATTATACAAGGACTTTAGAGTAATTTAAATCCAGTTGCCTGTCCCAATTTTTAGGATAAGGCACACATGTTTTTCAGTGTTTGTTTTTCTGAGGTTTATATACATTCTGACCCGACCCTGCTGCCTCCAGGATAAAGTGTCCACATCCTGGAAGGTCTATGACTCTGAAACTCTTCAGTATCTACAAGTCTGCAAGAAGAAATTGCCAAGTGGAAGCTGTCGAAAGTTTTCTACATAAGAATTTACTCTGCAAAGATTTCGGTTAGGACCATGTAATGTTGGATACCTTAAGATTAGGGAAAACAAGAGACCAAAAGTGGAAGCTGGTCACCAGCGATCCCATGCTGCACAGGCAAAAATATGGTAATGAGGAAGTCACTTAATCTTCATCATAGTTATTGATAAGTATCACCCTTAACAGTAAAGGAGTTTACAGTTTTCCATGATTATTATTTATGGAAAACATTAATATATATCGATTGCTCATTCTCCTCCCCTAATGGGAACTCATATTACTGAAGTTAAGTAGGGCTATGGGATATGCTGTAGCCCTAACAAACTATGAGAAGTTGCCTGCACAATTTCTTGTTGGAAGTAATTTTTCATGCTCTCTGCCCCAGACTCTTTGACCAAGGTGGCATTAAGTTTTCACATGGTACAGCCGCAGCCATTTTTATCAGCTTGGACCTCCAAGAGGCTTCATGGAGAACAAATGCCCTGAAAGCTGCGAGGCCCACAGCCAAACGCATAATCAGGGAATAAACACAGGGGCCTGGAGAATACTTGTTACTGCAGTATCATTAAGTCACATCCAACCAATATATTTAACTTAATTCTCATCCTATGAGGCAAAGCAGACACTATTTTTCCCCCCACGTTAGATATAAGAATACTGAAACACAGCAAATTTATATTGCTTTCAAAGATCATCCATTTTGGGGGCACCCAGGTGGCTCAGTTGAGTGCCCAACTCTTGGTTTTGGCCCAGGTCATAATCTCAGGGTCATGAGATGGAACCCCCAAGTTGGGCTCCACACTCAGTGTGGAGTCTGCTTGAGATTCTCTCCCTCTGCCCCTCCCCCGACTGGTTTTTGCTCCCTCTCTCTCTCTAAAACAAATAAATCTTAAAAAAAAAAAAGATCATCCACTTTTAAGTATCAAGACCTAGAGGATAGTTTCACTTATAAATGAAATATAGGTTTCATTGACGGGGTGGGAGTATGGGGTAACTGGGTGATGGGCATTAAGGAGGGCACATGATGTAATGAACACTGGGTATTATATAAGACTGATGAATTACTGAACTCTACCTCTGAAACTAATAATACACTATATGTTAATCAATTGGATTTAAATTAACAAAAGGAAAAAAAAAGAAATATAGGGCATATATAAGCTGGTAATTAAATTAAGAATGTGTCATTATTTTACTCAACACTAAAACATTTGTAAAGTGAAATCTCCCTCGTAACACTTACTTGGAACTATAAATTCTATTTCTTCTGACATAGCAACTCCCAGTTTATTAGAAGCAAAGCAGCGGTATTTCCCTTGAAAGTGAGATATGTGCCCCTCATTTGGTATCTTAAAGGTTCCTGAGTTGTTGGATACAATGATCCGAGAGTCAGAGAGATCAAAAGGCTTGTCATCCTTAGTCCACATAAATCTGTAAGATAAAACTAAAGTAAACAATCCTGAAAAGTCAAAACACACTTCCTAATTTTAAAAATGGTAATAAACAAATGCACAGAAATGACAAAACGAAAACATTTTATGGTAAAAAAATATTTTTAATTGACTATATAATAGAACACAAAAAAAGTCTCAGAAGAATCTGAGAAATCTTATAAGTTACTATAGACTGAATGTTTATGTCTCCCCCAAATTCATATGTTGAAGCCTAATCCCTAACGTAGGAGTGTCTGGAGGTAGAGGACTGGGGAGGTGATCAGGTCATGGGGATGGAGTTCTCATGAATGGGATTTGCATCCTTATGAAGGAGGCCCCAGAGAGCATTTTTGCTCTCTTCTGCCATGTAAAGTTACAGCAAGAGAACAGCTGTCTGTGAACCAGAAAGCAGGTCCTCATCAGACACCAAATCAGTGAGGGCCTTGATCTTGGTCTGCCCAGCCTTCAGAACCATGTGACAAATGTACGTTTGTTGTGTACGCTACCCAGTCTGTGGCATTTTTATTATAGCACGCTGAAGTAAGACCAAGCCATGAAAAGCTCTAACAACTGAGAAAACAGAAATTGAAGATAGGTTTTGTTCTGTTCTTTTTAAAGTTATTTTTTAATGTTTTCAATTGGAAAGGTATTTTACTAATACTTGAAGACTACTAAATCTAAAAACATACAATATATCATCACATGTGTGTGTGAAGCGCTCACTCAAAATTTAAAAAAACAAACAAGTACTATTGAATGTGGTCACATTTCCTATCTAGATTTTTAGATATATTAGTAACATATTTGAGACCACAAAAAATATAAAAATTTGCAAACTAAGTTTTTCCAATTATTACAATGCTACTAAAGCCAGTTTCTATGACAACTTTATCTTCTGTCATATGATTACTATTTAAGTTACTTAATGATTTGCATTTTTCCCCTTTTACAAACAAATTGTGGTAAACAACTTTAACATAATTTATTTTTTGGCACTTATCCAAATATTTCATTAGACCAATTTCTTCAAAGTAAGAATGATAGACCAATAACAAGAAAATTTTTATAGAAACTGTTGATAAATGTTGCAGAATTGTATTCCAGAAAAAAATATACATAGTTAAATTCCCACCCCAATGTGTAACCATGTAGTTTCTGTGGATGAGGCTATAAAAAGCCTTTTAAAAAAATCTTATCTAGGGTGCCTGGGTGGCTCAGTTGGTTGGGCGACTGCCTTCGGCTCAGGTCATGATCCTGGAGTCCCAGGATCGAGTCCTGCATCGGGCTCAGTGGGGAGTCTACTTCTCCCTCTGACCTTCCTCTCTCTCATGCTCTCTACCATTCTCTCTCTCTCTCAATAAATAAATAAAAATCTTAAAAAAAAATCTTATCTAATAATGACTTCCCAATTTGATTTTATTCAACATTTCATATATGAATTATCAATGCAAATTGTGGAATGTTTCAGGACACCATTTTCTTACACTAAACTGTCTTTATTCTTTCACCAGGAATAACAAACCTTCATGGTACACATAGTTTTGTTAGGAGTATGCCTGCCTTCTCCCCCAACCCCAGTTCTTTTATGTCCTCTCTCTCTGTCTGTTTTATGTTTTATTGGCTTTACTTACAAAGAACACAAAGAATCTATTCTTTTAAATTCCATCATGTTGAATGGGATCACTTCACCTATACAGAATTAAACATTTCCACTTGGAAATATGTTACATATTTTCATTCATTCAAATCTTCTTTCCTGATCCTAGGTAGAATTTTATAGACACTGCCCCCAATTTAAATCCCACATAGTTCTTGTTACATAGTATTTGATATTGTTTTTGTTGATGTTGTTACCACTAACGGTTAAGACTGCTGGATTTTTTTCCTTTTGCTATTGTGATGGGATATTTTTTCCTTCTTGTTTCCCAATTATTTTCTAACTGCCTTGTATGGACATCTAATTATGCTTTTTAAAATTTATTTTTAATTTTTTAAATCATTTTATAACTGACTACTTCAGTGTAACCCTTTGTATTTATAAAAGCTTGTTTTTGTCCAGTGAATTGACAGAATAACAAATTATATAATAATAATATTAATCATACTGTCTCATATGTATAGATTTTATTTTTTTGCATAATTATATTAGACATGGCTCTAGGAAAATAAGTAATAATGATACCAGACATTCTATTTTTATTTCTGAATTTATTGTAAATACTAGTAGTAGTTCATAATTAAATTCATACTGGTTATAGACATAATAGATAAATTTGATCATTAATCATCTCTGATGATTGTAGGGTTTTATCTTTTGATATAATAATTCAGTTCATTACTATTAATATATATCAATATTGATTGATCCATATTGATCCAGCCACAATGACTGACTAAATTCTTCTTCATATAATTCTATCCCTATTTACATATACTAATTGAATATATTCCATTTGGTAAAGTATAGATAATAATGATAATTTAACATGTCAATGATTAAGAATGATTTTTAAAATATCAACTTATCAGGCAATAATGTTAGTCACAATACAATTTCAAATAATTAATTTTCCTTAAATATGTATCTTCTTAGTGGATATAAATGAATTAAGCAAATCAGTACAAGTATGTAGCTTTGTTGCGCATCTTAGAATCACCTACATTAAAATCTAGAATTCCCTCTACAGCTAGCCTCTCCTTCCTCATTCCCAACACACACACATTTCTTTCTCCCTTCCAAAGTATAGGAAGTATTTTGAAAAAACTTCATTCCTGATTATGATCACCTACAGTAACAATCATTTAATTAAGAAAACACTAGATAACAGTATACCATGCAGATAGCATTCAGGATGACTAAATATTTCTATGATAACTTAAAAAATATCAAGTAACAACCTACTTGTTGAATAAGATATGTGTCACTTTAAAAAAAAAGATATGTGTTACATTTAAAGACATGCAATAATAATTATATATAGAATGTCATTTATCAATATATTAACTTTCAGCTTAACAAATGCTACCTTTCACTAAATGGAATAAAGGATCTTCTGGGCTTTGGCTACCTTGTTCACTTGTAAGGAATTACTGAATATTTCCATGGTGCCAAAACCTATGCTAAGTATTTAACATAAGGCAATTTATTTGTGGTAAAAATAATTTCAACTTCCAGGAGAACATATGTAAAATAACCAAACTTTATTTTCATAAAAATAGCTATTATTCTTTTGGCAACTCTTATCTTTAATCATACATAGATTTATAGTCCAACAACCTTATCGTGGTCAGAGTACAAAGAAATTTAAAAAAATATATACGTATAAACAATTACTTCGTTTGCAAGAATACTCACGTTGGTTCTGGATTTCCTTTAGCTTCACATTCAATTTGAAAATATTCATCAAAGGGAAAGGCAACTTGCACTTTTGACTGTTTTATGATTGTTGGAACCTGTTGAACTAAATATCAAAATATGTATTTAAAGAACGTGGTCCTCAAATACTAGGTCAGGTGAATTTAGCTATAACAGAAACACTTGAAACATGCTTCCTATATTGATAAGTAAGAGAACTATAAAAAAAAGTGAAAACTACAGAACAAATCTGACTTCCTCTTTGAAAAATATTTTTTATTAATTAATTGTTTTAGGTTTGCCCTTGGGTCTTTTTTTTTTAAATCCCAGTGTAGTTAACACAGTATTATATTAGTTTCAGGTGTACAATACAGTGACTCAACAATTGTATACATTACTCAGTGTTCATCGTGGTAAGTATATTCTTAATCCCCTTCATCTATTTTACCCATCCCCTCACCCACTGCCCATCTGGTAACCATCCTTTTGTTCTCTATGGTTAAGAGTCTGTTTTTTGGTCTGTTTCTTTTTCCCTTATTTGTTTGTTTTCCTTCTTAAATTCCACATATGAGTGAAATCATATGGCATTTGTTTTTCTCTGACTTCTTTCACTTAGCCTAGATCCTCTAGATCCATCCATGTCACTGCAAATGGCAAGGTTTCATTCTTTTTTTGGCTGAATAATATTCCATTGTATATATATACCTCTTCTTCATTCACCTATCAATGGACACTTGGGGGGGTTCCATAATCTGGCTATTTAAATAATGCTACAATAAACACAAGGGTGCATATATCTTTGCAAATTAGTGTTTTTGTATTCTTTGGGTAAATACCCAATAGTGGAGTTGCTGGATGATATGGTAATTCTATTTTTAACTTTTTTGAGGTATCTCCATACTGTTTTCCACAGCAGCTGCACAAGGTTGCATTCCCACCAACAGTGTATGAGGGTTCTTTTTTCTCCACATCCAACACTTGTTGTTTCTTGTGTTTTGGAGTTCAGCCATTCTGACAGGTATGAGGTGATATCTCATTGTAGTTTTAATTTGCTGATGATTAATGATGTTGAGCATCTTTTCATGTGTCTGTTGGCCATCTGTAAGTCTTTGGAGAAATGTCTGTTCATGTCTTCTGCTCATTTTTAATTGGATTATGTAAAATGTACTTAATTTTAAAGAACATACTTCACTGATAACATTTCATTTCATGTTACCAAAAGTGTTCATTTTATTTAAACCTAGAATAAAGGAACCACTTAGAGCAGAATAAAAATTGCCATATCATTACAACTTTAAAATCTCTATTTTTAAATTACTGACATTTAGTCTGCTGATGTGTGTATATATATTTTTATTTAGTTCAGTCATTTTTACAGTTGTTTTTTTAATTTATAGTTTTTTAAGACATTATAATTAATTTACCAATTTTACATTATTTATTCCCATTGTTTTGTGATGACTTCTTGGATAATTTTCTTTTTATTGGACATTTGATTTTTTTCATTTTTCTCTTTCCGGGTAACATGTACTTCCATAGCCATATAAATTTTTCAAGCATGTAAGTTTTTCCTTTATTGAATTAGTGACTTATGATAAATTTCCAGGCATAGACACAAATAGTATTTACTCTGGATAAATGATGATATCATTTCACAAGAGGATATTTACTATAAACAACATATGAGTATAGCAGTTTCCAAATCCTTTCCACAAATGAACACCGACATTTAAAAATGATAAAAAATATTTTGCTAATTATTACAAAGGAAATTATAACATCCTCATTCTATTTTTTCTATTTTTATTTCTACTTATTGCTTTTATTAATAAATGTTTTTCCCTAAACTTGTTTATTACTTTTGTCATTCCCCATTTATAAATTATCCTTTCACTATTGTTGGGGGCTTGGGGTTAGTTTTCTTCCCCTTAGAATTTAACACTAATAATCTGCAATAAAAATAAATAATGGTATTTTTAAATGGATTCCACATTATCAAATACCTCTTCATCTTGTGATAAACTTTTTTAGTGTCTCACAAATTAAATAATATTCAAGACAAACTTAAAAAGTAGGTGGGTGACTGTGTCTCTCACTAAGTGAAGCAGCTGGATGGCATTAGAGAATTGTGTTTATAAAATAAGTGTACTAATGCTGAAGATACAACCATGGGTTAGGTTTTGAAATGGGACACAGGTAATAGGTAAAGATCTACTATCAGTGAGCACTCAGCAGTTTTCAAATTGATACATTACCATTTTATTATCATTCTTACAACCTCTAGTAAGGAAAGGGACAGCACTGAATTCATAAGGAAGTGTAAGCGATTCAGCAGCAGGAACCTGATTTCAGCAAATATGTTTTGAGAAAAGCAATTCGCAGAAAGGCACTGAGTCTGATTTAGGTAAGTACTATTCCACAGTGGACTTACAAATAGGGCCCTAAATCCAGTTACAAACCCAGGCCCTGAACCACTCTTTTTTCTCATTTGTAAGGTTAGGAATTCAGGATAGATAAATTGTTCTTAGACTTTTTGGTCTCGGGATCTCTTTATATTCTTAAAAATTAGAGGAAGTCCCAAGGGGCTTTTGTTCATTTGGTTTATATCTAACAATATTTTACCATATTAGAAATTAAAGCTGAGAAACCTTTTAAAAATTTATTTATTAATCCATCTTAAATACTCTTATATGTTAAAATAAATACCTATTTTATCAAGAACATGAAATACAGAGAACAGTGGCATTGTTTTCACATTATCACAAATCCCTTTAATATCTTCATAGAAAGCAACTGGATTCTCACATCTGCTTCTACATTCAATCTGTCACAAAAGTTGTTCTGCTTAAATATATGAAGAAAATCCAGCTCTACATAGATACGTACTTGAAAAAGGGTGAGATATTGTATCATCCTCTCTGATGATTGTGAACATTCTTCTTAAATAGTACACCAAAACTCAACAAGTGGTAGTTTCTTTTTTTTTTTTTTTTAAAGATTTTATTTATTTATTTGACCTAGAGAGAGAGACAGCGAGAGCAGGAACACAAGCAGGGGGAGCAGGAGAGGGAGAAGCAGGCTTCCCACCGAGCAGGGAGCCCGATGTGGGGCTCGATCCCAGGACCCTGGGATCATGATCTGAGCCGAAGGCAGACGCTTAACGACTGAGCCACCCAGGCGCCCAACAAGTGGTAGTTTCTTAAACATTTACTACAATATGGAATCTGAGATCATATCAATGAACTTTTCATATTCTATTATAATAACATGTTTTATCCATGAGTTGTTTTTTTTTAAGATTTTATTTTTTTAAGTAATCTTTATGCCCCATGTGGGGCTCAAACTCACAACCCCGAGATCAAGAGTTGCTTGCTCCACCAACTGAGCCAGCTAGGTGCCCCTATCCATGGCTTCTTTTTAACCATGTAGAGTTTTGTAATATTATGCAATAACCATTTAGAAAAAAAAAATACTGCTTCATGGACCATGAGAGATCCACAGGTCACATTTTAAGCATTGATGGCCAGCCTAGAATAATAACTCAAAGCTATTTCCAACTCTAAAAATTTTTTTGGTTTAATCAATCTGTTAATTGAGTTTTACTAGTTTAGGTACATGAGCCCAAGTTCAGTCTTTATCCATTGGCTATTCATAAACATTTTAACAACATGCAATAAACATTCATACCTTCATGGACATTTACCTTGTTTCTGATTGCTACTGCTTCTAAGTAGAACAAGTCTTGAGCTTATTGCAAATTCACATTATTTAAATTTTATTACAGTTATAAAAGGTGAGGGATGATGCACAGTAGCAACAGTCCCTAAGATATCAGCTAATAACTTGGAACAACTTGTTTATTAGAACATTATTCTTCTTAAATTTGCTAAGGTTGTAAAGTCTCAGCAATAACTAATTACTCAGGGAATGGAACTAATAACCTTTGAGTGTTTATAAGAATGTATATTCTACATTATAAATCCTTTCCTCCATAATTAGGCCAAATACAGAGACACCAGGCTCATTGACATTCAAATTGGATACCTGCCTTAGTTGCATTTGCTAGTGAGTGCTCTAGAGTACTGAAACAAATGGATAATACTCAGTTATTCTGAAAACATGTCATTAATATTTTATAACAATTGTTGTCTAAGGACATTTACAGAATAAAAATGCGTAAGTAATTGAGACAATCAATAAAAAATGTGTGCTATGGATTAATATAAACTTTAAATTCTTTACCACGGATGAACTAAATGAGAAAAAATGGAAAGAAAATATATATTCCAAGAGAATATGGTCAGGAATCTGAACAGGAATCCCAGTGCCTCTTTGTTGCTACTGGGGGAAAGATGTAAGATTATTAACCTCTTTCCCACAAAGATCACCAAGAACTTTGCTCTTAATTTGGCACTGCACACTCAAACCAAAAGAATGTACTAAAGATGAATAATTTCCAGTTCTTGACCTGAATGTCTACAACTAGGCTGATACATTTTGTGTGTAGGCTAAGAGATTTCAGCTTGATTTAAAGAGAACTTTAGGGCGCCTGGGTGGCTCAGTTGGTTAAGCCACTGCCTTCGGCTCAGGTCATGATCCTGGAGTCCTGGGATCGAGTCCCGCATCGGGCTCCCTGCTCGGCAGGGAGTCTGCTTCTCCCTCTGACCCTCTCCCCTCTAATGTGCTCTCTCTCTCTCTCATTCTTTCTCTCAAATAAATAAATAAAATCTTTAAAAAAAAAATAAAGAGAACTTTAAATCTGTACACCTACAGAACAGGTAGTTAGAATTCCTTAAGAAGAAAGAATATTCAAAGAGAGACCCACCATCTGTCAAGGACAATGGAGAAGGAATTCTCACTTAGGGGTGAATTAAAAGGGCAGGGCTGCCCAAAGTGTATGATATGAAACTCCTATGTGAAGTAACTTAAGGTGGCCATCAGAAAAATGGTTAAAAAACACATTATATAGTCAGAGACTTTCTTCCTTTTCTATTCACATTCAGATTGAGTACTTCAGAAGAAAAGTTTCAGTTCAGAGTTAGCAAGTCTCTTAATGTTTATTCAACTTACTGAGCTCAAGTCTAATTGTCTAGAGCTTAGATGATGTGCAAAGGTAATTTCCAAGGCTAAGATTCAAATAAACAAGCACTGTCTCTTGTATTATAAATCTCCAAATTACATATGGAAAAGACAGGAAGAGGGGCATCTGGGTGGCTCAGTTGTTCAGTATCCCGGGGTCCTAGGATGGAGCCCAACTGGGCTCCCTGCTCAGCGGGGAGCCTGCTCCTTCCTCTCCCTCCCTGCTCCTCCCCCTGCTTGTGCTCTCTCTCTCTCTGTCAAATAAATAAATAAAATCTCTTAAAAAAAAAAAGACAGGAGGGATAATACAGGAAGCATATGGATAAAAATATCTAAATAGCCTTTCAAGGTTCTTTTATATCCCCTGTCCTTATAACACAAGGCAAATTCCCCAGATCTCTGTTACATAGCTGATACAGTATTACATAAACTGTTTGTAAATGTAATATTTTTTGTATGTTATTTCTTATGTATGTCAAGATATATATTTGCATAAAACCAATGACTAACCTATAGACATGAATTCACAGTATAGAATGCTCTAGATTTTCAGAGTTGATATCATCTTATATTTTTAGTTGTATAATAATGGCTTTTTAATATTTTCTTAATTCATTGTTTTCATTCTTAAATATACAATCATTTTGAAAAAAAAGGTACAAAATGTATTGCTTTCCTTTTTATCATAATTGGTTGAACACCATTAATTTCTGAATCATAACACTCCCTAAAATAAACTAATGAAGCATATAAAAGTAACAACCATTGGTAATATTGAAGAATATCTTATATGGCAAAACACCTGATCTATAGGTCATGTTTCTTGTTATGTGCCAAGTTTTATAAGAAGGCAAAAAGCCTGAGCTGCAAAATAATTAGAGCAAGCAGCCAAATCCCAGACATCCAATTTTTTAAAAAGGGAATGATGCATTCTGATGACAGACTGCTGGAAAATAAATAGAAATATGGTAGAAGAATTTCCTCAACCTACAAGTATTCTACTTAAAAATGAAAATGCAAATACGAAATTCCATGAAGTAGGTATTGAATGCTGTCATTTTACCTGAAAGTGGTATTTCCATGGCTGTAGAGAATTTTACCAGGAAACAAATTAGAGATACAATTAATCCTCTGCCACCTAACAGCATCTCCATTGCTCTTCAGGATGGAGGCAACTCAGGAAGAATGAAAATCGTAATGCGTCCTTTTACTTTTGGTTTAAAGCTGAGAAGAATGTAGTTCACCTGGGAATTCAAAAAACAAAATGACATATATTTTAAGTTCATATACTCTGAAATGACAACATAATTTTTTAAAAGATATTATTTATTTAAGAGAGAGAGAGCATGAGCAGAGGTGGTGGGAGGGTGTGGGGGGAGAGTAGCAGAAGCAGACTACTCACTAAGCAGGGAGCAAGACCAGGGCTCCATCCCAGGACCCTGAGATCATGACCTGAGCGGAAGGCAGACACTTAACCTACCGAGCCACCCAGGAACCCCTGACAACAAAATTTAAATAAATGTTTCCGTTGCAATAATTTTCCACTTGATGAAACACTTTACTAGTAACTCCACAAATATATAATTAATCTTTCTATATGTTTTATCAAAGGACAGTTGATACATACTATAGTGCAAACGATGACCTATTCCAATGAATTATATTTTTTGGCCAGATAAGTTTTTACTTCAAGGCACTCTAATACACTCTATCAGGTGTGGGTGTCAGTGCTATAACTTCATTTAACCCATTTTGTTCAAAATGTGGCTCTTTTTCAAATAATTCTTTGTATCAGGCATCTAACCCCACTTGAGTCATTTATGAAGCATCATAAATCTAACCATTGATTTTTCTGGCAAAAAAACTTTTCATGTTCAAAGTTATGACACTAATAGAAAGTGAACAGCAAGATAGAGGAGTGGAAGAATGAAGGACAAATGGATAAAGATCAGCCACACTAACATTTATAAATTTCGGTTTTGTTCAAGCAGAAAATAATTATCTTTAGTTACTTTACACTTAAGCAGAATATTTATTCACTCCATATTGTACAGAAATACAAATTGAAATGTCCATTTTCCAGGCACCTGGGTGGCTCAGTCAGTTAAGCATCTTCCTTCAGCTCAGGTCATGGTCCCAGGGACCTGAGATCAAGCCCCACATCGGGCTCCTTGCTCAGCGGGAGCCTGCTTCTCCCTCTCCCTCTGCCTGCCTGCCACTCCCTCTGCTTGTGCTCTATTTCTCTCTGTCAAATAAATAAATAAAATCTTAAAAATAAATAATAAAATAAAATGTCAATTTTCCTTAAGAGAACTGAGATTTTCCTTATGAGAACTCATACCATTTCAATTTTATAATGAAACACTGTGATAATAGACATCTAAACATTGTTTATAACGTATGTTTAAAAATAAATTTGCTCAAATGCGATAGTTTTTTAGGTACCTAATTTTCTTTTCCCATAAAAATCAGTTACTCTATTCACTTACAACTGGTACAAAACAATTAATGAATATAGTGTCAGACAAGTCATCAAAATTGATACATTCTTTAACTTAAATTCAATTAATTAACATATAATGTATTACTGGTTTCAGAGGTAGAGGTCAGTGATTCATCAGTCTTATATAACACCCAGTGCTCATTACATCACATGCCCTCCTTAATGTCCATCACCCAGTTACCCCACCCACCCACCCCACTCCCTCTAGCAACCCTCAGTTTGTTTTCTATGGTTAAGAGTGTCTTATGGTTTGTCTCCCTCTCTGATTTCATCTTCTTTTATTTTTTCCTCTCTTCCCCTATGATCTTCTGTTTGGTTTCTTAAATTCCACAAAACAGTGAGATCATATGATTATTGTCTTTCTCTGATTGACTTACTGTGCTTAGCATAATACCCTCTGTTCCATCCATGTCATTACCAATGGCAAGATTTCATTTTTTTGATGGCTGCATAATATTCCATTGTGTATATATACCACATCTTCGTTACCCATTCATCTGTTGATGGACATCTGGGCTCTTTCCACAGTTTGGCTATTGTGGACATTGCTGCTATAAACATTGGGGTGCACGTACCCCTTCGGATCCCTACATTTCTATCTCTGTGGTAAATACCAGTAGTGCAATTGCTGAGTCATAGGGTAGCTCTATTTTTAACCTTTTTATGAAACTCCATACTGTTTTCCAGAGCGGCTGCACCAGCTTGCATTCCCACCAACAGTGTAGAAGGGTTCCTCTTTCTCCACATCCCCGCCAACATCTATAGTTTCCTAACTTGTTAATTTTAGCCATTCTGACTGGTGTGAGGTGGTATCTCATTGTGTTTTTGATTTGTAGTTCCCTGATGCCAAGTGATGTGGAGCATTTTTTCACATGTCTGTTGGATATTTATGTCTTCTTTGGAAAAATGTCTGTTCATGTCTTCTGCCCATTTCTTGATTAGATTATTTGCTCTTTGGGTGTTGAGTTTCATAAGTTCTTTACAGATTTTGGATACTAGCCCTTAAACTGATAAAACATTTACAAATATCTTCTCCCATTCTGTCAGTTGTCTTTTGGTTTTGTCAACTGTTTCTTTTGCTGTGCAAAATGCAAAAGCATTTTATCTTGATGAAGTCCCAATAGTTCATTTTTTGCCTTTGTTTCCCTTGCCTTTGGACATGTGTCTAGCTAGATTTTGCTGTGGCCAAGGCCACAGAGTTTGCTGTCTGTGTTCTCTAGGATTTTGATGAATTCCTGTCTCACATTTAGGTCTTTCATCGATTTTGAGTCTGTTTTTGTGTATGGTGTAAGGAAATGGTCCAGTTTCATTCTTTTGCATGTGGCTGTCCAATTTTCCCAACACCATTTGTTGAAGAGACTGTCTTTTTTCCATTGGATATTCTTTCCTGCTTTGTTGAAGGTTAGTTGACCATAGAGTTGAGGGTCTATTTCTGGGCTGGGATTGATCTATGTGTCTGTTTTTGTGCCAGTACCATACTGTCTTGATGATTATAGCTTTATAATAGAGCTTGAAGTCCGGAATTGTGATGCCACCAGCTTTGCCTTTCTTTTTCAACATTCCTCTGGCTATCTGGGGTTGTCTCTGGTTCCATACAAATTTTAGGATTATTTGTTCCAGCACTGTAAAAAAAAAAAAAAATTGATGGTATTTTGACATGGATTGCATTGAATGTGTAGATTGCTCTAGGTAGCATAGACAGTTTAACAATATTTATTCTTCCAATCCATGAGCATGGAATGTTTTTCCATTTCTCTGTGTCTTCCTCAATTTCTTTCATGAGTGTTCTATAGTTTTCTGCATACAGATCATTCGCCTCTTTGGTTAATTTTATTCCTAGGTATCTTATGGTTTTGGGTGCCATCATAAATGGGATTGACTCCTTAATTTCTCTTTCTTCTCTCCCATTGTTAGTGTATAGAAATGCAACTTATTTCTGTGCATTGATTTTATATCTTGCTACTTTGCTGAATTCCTATATAGGTTCTAGCAATTTTGGGGTGGAGTCGTTTGGGTTTTCCACATAGAGTATCATGTCATCTGCAAGAGTGAGAGTTTAACTTCTACTTTGCCACTTCGGATGCCTTCTATTTCTTTTTGTTGTCTGATTGCTGAGGCTAGGACTTCTAGCACTATGTTGAACAGCAATGGTGATAGTGGATATCCTTGTCGTGTTCTTGACCTTAGGGGGAAAGCTCTCAGCTTTTCCCCATTGAGAATGATGTTCGCTGTGGGCTTTTCATAGATGGCTTTTATGATATTGAGGTATGTTCCCTCTATCCCTACACTGGGAAGAGTTTTAATCAAGAAAGGATGCTGTACTTTGTCAAATACTTTTTCTGCATCTATTGAGAGGATCATAGGGTTCTTATCTTTTCTTTTATTTATGTAGTTTATCACATTGATTGATTTGTGGATGTTGATCCACCCTTGCAGCTCAGGGATAAATCCAACTTGGTCATGGTGGATAATCCTTTTAATGTACTGTTGGATACTACTGGATAGTATTTTGGTGAGAATTTTTGCATCCATGTTTATCAGGGATATTGATCTGTAATTCACCTTTTTGGTGGGGCGTTTGGTTTTGGGATCAAGGTAATGCTGGCTTCATAGAAAGAGTTTGGAAGTTTTCCTTCCATTTCTATTTTGTGAAATGGCTTCAGAAGAATAGGTATTAATTGTTCTTTAAATGTTTGGTAGAATTCCCCTGGGAAGCCATCCAGCCCTGGACTCTGGTTTGTTGAAGATTTGTGTTACTGCTTCAATTTCCTTGCTATTTATGGGTCTGTTCAGGTTTTCTATTTCTTCCTGATTCAGTTTTGGTAGCTTATACGTCTCTAGGAATGCATCACTTTCTTCCAGATTGTCCAATTTGTTGGCATATATTTGCCTCGTTCATTCAGGATTTTATTTATTTCGGCCCTTTCTCTTTTCTTTTTGATAAGTCTGGCCAAGGGTTTATCAATCGTATTAATTCTTTCACAGAACCAGCTCCTAGTTTCATTGATCTGTTCTACTGTTCTTTTGGTTTCTATTTCATTCATTTCTGCTTTAATGTTTATTATTTCTCTTCTGCTGGGTTTAGGCTTTTTTTGCTATTCTTTCTCCAGCTCCTCTAGGTGTAAGGTTAGGTTGTGTTTTTGAGGCCTTTTTTGTTCCTTGAGAAAGGTTTTATTGCTCTATACTTCCCTCTTAGGACCACCTTTGTTCCATCTCAAAGCTTTGAATAGTTGTGTTTTCATTTTCACTTGTTTTCATGAATTTTTAAAATTCTTTAATTTCCTGGCTGACCCATTCATTCTTTAGTAGGATGCTCTTTAGCCTCCATGTTTTTGAGTTCTTTCCAACTTTCATCTTGTGATTGAGTTCCAGTTTCAAAGCATTGTGGTCCAAAAATATTCAGGGAATGATCCCAATCTTTTGGTACTGGTTGAGACCTGATTTGTGACCCAGTATATGATCTATTCTGGAGAACGTTCCATGTGCACTTGAGAAGAATGTGTATTCCGTTGCTTTAGGTTGGAAGGTTCTGAATATATCTATAAAGTCCATCTGGTCCAGTGTGTCATTCAAAGCCCTTGTTTCTTGTTGATTTTCTGCTTAGATGATCTGTCCACTGCAGTGAGTGTGATGTTAAAGTCCCCTACTATTATTGTATTATTATCAATATGTTTCTTTAATTCTGTTATTAATTGGCTTATATAATTGGTTGCTCCTATGTTAGGGGCATAAATATTTATA